TGTTCGAGAAGCCTCTCTTTTCGGACCTCATCCGATTGCCTGGTGTCCATGATCTGATATCCGATGTTATGGACGAATTGTTAAACATTGCTCATTCCCAGGACTGCAAATTTCCGAGCAACTTTAAGGAAGCTACAATCGAATCCATGGTCGGGTCAAGTCAGGATCCATGTACCATGTACCAGGACTTCACTGCCCGGCGTCCAATGGAGGTAGAAACCTATCTAGGTTCTCCTGTGGAATTGGCCAAAAAAGCAGGTATCAAGGTTCCCCGACTGGAGACTTTGTACACGATGCTACGCCACGTCAACACTGTCAATAAGGACCGTCCTGTCGCCTCTGCTGCGTTGCCACAATCGCCTTCCGTGATGCAACCGCCTCCTAGAACGATGTCTCTCGCAAATGCTGGTCCTCGACAACCAAACCAACCGCTTAACGGAGCGCCCCGGCCGATGCGCGGTCCTAACATGGGACCGCCGATGGGACCGCCGATGGGACCGCAGGGTCGACGCGGTCCTCCTCCTGTGAACGGCTTCCGTGGACCGCCAAACAGTTACCCACCACGGGGACCAAGTCAAATGCAGCGACGGCCCTCTTATGATGAGACGAACCTGGATGAGTTTAGTCACGTTGTGCTTTATGACGATCTACCCGATGGCGACGTTGCCGCTAACTTCCCCGACAATGGAGGGCCCAACGCCGCAGCATCATTGCGTGAACGAGAATTGATGCTGCGGGAGAAGGAGCTGCACCTCAAACAACAAGAGATGGCGATGCGAAATCGCCCGGGCCGAAGAACCTCGCACAATCGCCACCAAGACTTTGACGATGACGACGATGATGACGACTATTTCGACCCAATGCAGGCACGCGGTCCCCCAATGCCTCCAATCGACCCCGACAATTTTGATATGATGAGTGTCACATCGAGGCGGACGAAAAGGGCGACCAGTCAGAATCAGTTGCGCAAAGATGTCTTTGCAAATGGGAACAACATGCGTCCTGGATCTTTCGGCCGGCCTATGCTCAGCAGGCATCGGACCAGCACCCAACTCCTGTCCGATATGCCTATGCTCGGAGAGAATATCTTGGACAATCCGATGATGGGCTTCTCATCCAACCGGTACGGTTCAGTGGACCGCAAGGAAATGGCAGATGAATCACGTGCAAATTCCCTGACGGCAAGCCGGCTCCAGGACCTTGGCGCAAATGGGGGTCCGTACCCGGGTCCGCCTAGTAGACGGACAAGTCGATCACCAGGAAATCCATTCAGTCCACCTGGGCGAGGGCCTAATCGGCCCTCGCCCCCTAATGACCCTTATATGCAAGCCGGACAGCGCAACGGCCGACCGTCTCCACCAGGAGGCATGCCTGCACCGGTACCCAGATACCCTCCTGGTCAGGGCGGCATGATCCCTCCACATCAAATTGAACAGGCCGGGGTGAGCAAACCATTCCCACCACCAAAAGCACCTGTGAAAAGTCTGACTGGAAGTGCCAGTGCTAGCGCAGGCAGCGGGGATAGTGGAAGTGCCAATATTGACTCGGAACCGTCAGCTCACAGTAGCACAAGCAGCTTCGCGCCTCGGCAGATGCTGAGCATCCGTTGAAAGAATCTTCCAGCAGAATTTGTGCAGGTTCACCCGGACTGACGATTTGTTACACTACGGCGAAGAACGTGACGAGGACTCGACTCGGCCACACAAGCTCACATATATCGTTGATTGTTACCCTGTTTCGCATATACCTTTAATGATCGGCGTCCGCAAAACATGATGACTCAATGGGCATACGATGGCCCTTGACCTCGGTAAAAAAGCATTGAGATGAGTTTGGTGGACGACACACGGTTGAATGGAAATGTTGCAACATTCGACTTTTGTGCCCCTTTCTAGTACATACAGCATTGCAAAGAGGAGTAGGGCTCCGCTTTTTCCTTTTTTTCTTTTATTGCACACTGTGCCCCCCATGGCACTGCACATTCTCGAAGACAAGGATTGGAGTGCAGATTCGAGGCTCTTTGTGGCTCTCCGATTCAAGTTGATTGGACAGGACCTTTTGTATTGCATAAAATTGGGAAGATACAGTTTTCAGGCACGAACACGATGGGACCGAGAATGAAATAATCACATTATGCTAGATCTCTGCACGGGAATCCGGGAGAGTGAAGGAAGGTCGGGGAAACAATGATGGTGGTACAGGCAAAGGGTAGGGGAGTCGAAGCAGGGTAATAATCGAATGCAAGCAAAAATTGGTCGGGAACGAAGATACAGAAAGAGGAGCCGGGGTGGATCGGCACTTGTATATCAATCTGCAAGTCTGCAGTCATTCAGTTCTGCTTTGATGCGTTCGATTTGTTGTTCCTCACTGTAGTTGTTTCCAAGGCCTCGACATCGAAGTTCACAGCCTTATCATCACGTGACGAGGCTTCACACGATTCTTATAGGTCTAGCCAATTTAGGAAAGTGCGCAGGACGAGGACGTTTGCTAACGATTGTTAGCACTTGTCCCACCACCAACACCAGCACGGCGCACTACGGCGATGTCTTCCGCCGCCAATGCCCTCGTTCGGAAAATTCGTCTATCATGGCCCACATGGGCTTCGTTATCCCTCCAACGCTACGTCACAGGTACCGATTCGATACGAGCCCTGCGATGGTTGCAGTGAAGTACCGAGAAACACATCACCACCTTGAGCGCAAACGATACCAGAATGAGACTACGCTTCGCACACCCCGGCTCAATATCTGTACCATCTGGCCTGGCTGAAGTCGCCGCAGAACCAGGTCTCGTGGCCACGGTCATCTCACCTTCCCCTCTCAGCCATGGGGATGCACCTTGCCTGACATGGCTGACCGATTTCGTCGGCCATGCCGGGTTGATTGAGGAGCACCTTTCTGGGACGATAAGATATGTCTCCATGTGAAGGCCAGAGTGGAGGTTTAAAATACTACCCGAGAGTGATGAATGTTACTGATGATGTCCTTTTGCATGATGCAGCACGTCGATTTGACAAAGTACCTCTGGATTTTGCCTCCACCCCTGCTCAAAGCTCCCGCAACGGACCTAGCCTCATGCAAAGGGCATCGCAAACCCGTTTGAGACTGATGCGGGTGTTCGAAAACGTGCCCTAGTTTGAAGGTGATTTGTCGACGCACTGATCAGATATTGAGACCTCTCTAGAAAGCTGTGGCCCCGTAAGGCTGTGCTACCACTACCTCATTCATTTGACCCCTCTCGCCCGAAGCACTCGGTTCAACGTCAATTACTTGAGGGCATTCCCAGATCCTAGAATGCCTCTTTGGCATAGTTTCGGGGAGTTTCGGGGAGTCGCAGGCGTTCAACATTGTCCAACAGCGTGCTGATGACATTTCAACGCTTTCACTGCTCGTTTCCATAAGGGGTTGACGATCCTGCTCGGATGCAGTTGTGACGATCTAAGAGACGCATTCGTGTAACCATGCTTGCCGACACTACACTCATGAAAAACACTACAGGAGAAATGCAAGGCATTCAAAGAGTCAGCGACAAATCGAGGCATAGGTTCGAAACAGCCGCATTTCATTAGCTGTGCTATTCGACCACATCATAAAGCCTACCTCGCTATATCGACCTCGCTCTCACTGTGGTTCATGACGACCTTGCAGAGGGTCATCGAGGGTTCCATTCGGCTAACGGCACCTTGATCGTCAACTTATACGGAAGTCCTGGTATGACTGTTTGATCCTGGGCCTTCTGCCACCAGGAGAACTTGTCAACCCATTCCTATTGCAACCATGGACCTTCCTGATATCTCGACAGGCTTTAGACGGGACCCGCATATAGTTTTCAAGCTTACCTTTGCTATTTGTCAGAATCTATATCTGCATCGGGTCTAGCCTGTCAGCCTGTGCAATCTGCGCACACAACAATCGACCATCGTCTTGCTGCAATTCCTTTGATACTAGAGCCGAGGGACGTGGGAAGGTCTCGTTGTATCGCTCAAAACTCCTTCAATAGGGAATATCTTTCTGTCCACGACTTGCCTAGTGCTGGTCCAAGTACGGGAAACGCGGGAACAGCAGCGATTGGACGGATGGCAAGTCGCGGGATCTGATGCCGAATCGCTGAGTATTACGAGTATGCCGGCAGACCAACGAGATGGAATATCAAGCTTACGCGGTGGGGTGAAGCCGACATTGCCTGGAGGATTGAGAAAGGTTCTAGAAGCCTTCGCTCCCCGAAAATTGGAAAGGTTTACCTTCTTCTTCAGGTAAGGTCTGTTCCGAGGATGCGCTAGATTGGACCTTCGTCGAATTGGGTTTGCAGCCTCGTTCCATTCAGGTAGGTGTGCAGCACCAAAAGCCGCAAGCGAGGCGTGTGAGCCAGTGATGGTTGGTCCACAGGTATGACTACTCATATGACTAAGGGACTGCAGGGAGTTCTGTGTCGTCGGTACGTGGAGGTTAGGGCTTTACCTCGAACCCAACAAGGCCATGGGATCCAAAAAGCATCTCTGAGGATCTCCACCGGCCGCCGTTTCCCAGGGACCATGGCGTTTGGCTGCACCGTTCCACTGACTCGGATGGGGTTATTCACCACCTCCCTAGAGCGATATGGACTCTTATAATGGACCCCAAGTGTCGTCATTGTCCCGGAGCTCGCTCGGACTCGATGGCATCTGCAGGCTACTGTTGCCCGGGGAAGATCCTTACGAAATTCATCTGTCAGCACTACTTGCCATTCCTCGTCTCTATCGACTCCTCAGCAGCCCGGGTATACGATGGTTTGCCCCACCAAAGGAATGGGAGGGACGATGTGTCAAAGGGTTATCAACCAAGCGAGCGGGATTGACCCTGGGATTGGCCATTGCCCACTTCGGTTACGAGGAACCGTCTGATTCGAGTCTCAAGTATATTCATTCGTGAGCCTTCCATTGCACCATCGACCACATACATGATATAGCGACGGAGATCCTACTCCTCTTCATCTGCAAACCTCAACTGTGAGCCATTGACAACATGAACTCGCAAGGTCTCTTTGAAACCAGCCCTTATCACACGTGGACGGGACCCCCTTTTGAATGGGACCATACCCCAGCGGTCCATCTCCCAAACCCACAAAGCTCTGATTCTGGTCACGCCAAGCGTCTGGCATCAAGAAGTGGTCAATCATTATTAGATGAAGATTACGACCTGTTTGACACCGAAGTGGTGGATAAGTTTCTGTTCAACGTGGTATACTGTCCCAGTTCCGTTGGGTCTGGGGATGCCTACTAACATGGCGCTTTGTCAAGTCTGAATCGAATAGCTCCAAAGACGATTACACAAGTTCTGTTTCGTTCTGTGGAATGCTTGAAGCCGAAGGAACGTCACCACCGGCTACTGGGGCACGGACAAAGGTCATATCAGATACCAGTTCTCCTATGACTGAAGTCGTCATTGACATTCCCGGGGAGGTGCGTCAGAGATAACAGAACCAAGGCTCGTCGCGCTGACTTGAAATCTCACAGCGTCGTCGTGCCCAAAATCGTGCGGCTCAGCGGGCACATCGTGAACGGCAGAAACGTTACGTGGCCCAGCTTGAGAAGAGGTTTTTTGCCCTGCAAGCTAACTACAACCACTTGGATGAAAAATATAAGAAGGTCGAGAGAGAACACCAGTCATTAATGAGAATGCTCTCCCGACAAATGCCAGCAACGCCTCCTGTCGCACAAGCAAATATGGATTCGTTCTTGTCCGTCAGCAGCAATGACCCATTGGCGGTCAACGAGTTTCTATTATGCGACCAAGAACCTGAGCAAACAATGGCAGAGGGGATAGATGGCGTCTTTTCAAAAGGTTTAGGAGTGCCCTGACACAGGTATGCAGCCTATGCTTGCAGCACACCGTGGGTTTGATGAACCTGTGGAATGTATCGTGGAGACAAGAGATGGCATGATGCCGACTATCATTTCATCGACATATATACTGTCCAAATTTCAAATTTATGCCGGAAACTGGGACCTCTGGGACCGACCTGTCGATGCCTACCGTGATGCAGGGTTTGATCTGTTCACTCCACGCATTGTGAATGGGCTCGAGAGAGCAAGAGAATTCTCGCTCCGTCTCGTCCTGGCACAACAGAAAGTCCTGTGGGTCTATCGTCAAGGGATATCATCGCTCTCCGTATGCTGTCGGGAACATTGAAGGGCCGCAATATCTGGAAGCTATTCAGGATGCGGTTATGCTTGACGCCGACTTCATTCTTCAACACCGGCCAAACATATCAGTTTGCGGATGAAAACATTACAGCAGGAGATGGGAAAGGAGAAATTGACTCGGACGCGAGCCGGCTTGGGTCATTGAAAGATACGGCTTGGGGCAGCCGCCAGAGAAGTACGACTACAGCACAGCTCTTTTGGAAATGGATTTCTGTCATCGCAGGATGGAAGACGGTGGTGGTGGCAATACATCTGGTGGTACTCTTGACCGCCGTCCCCTTCGTCAACGAAGACGAGATGTCGATGTCTGTCATATGCGATGCACGAGCACTTGGATATTCTGGAACGAGCTCACATTTACTTCGAAGAAGCCACTACTACCACCACCATCCACCCGCCTCGGACGGGGATGATTTGACAACATATGATTGTCCTGTCAGAGCGACTTCCTGAGGAGCTGAAGAGGGAGACAGGAGGACGGCTGTGTATTATTGAGTGTTGGTATTGGTATTGACGTGGGTTCTTGGTATCTAATTAATAATGGCCACGATGATCAACCCACCTAGCTAACCTTGGTCACCGTACATATACTCGGTATACTTGTACATATGCACATATACATATAGATATTCTTTGGTAAATACCCATGTACCCTACCTAGTAAGGTACCTAGACAGACAGACATAGACACACACACACACAGTTTCCGAGTATCAGAACAGAACAGAAAAATCCCTTTTCAGCGGCTTTGTTTTGTTTTTCCCTTGTTCGAGGTGGTATGTAATACCTATGGTGCGACTTGTAGTTTAGTTAGCTAGGTTACCTATCCATCCATCCATCCATCCACCCAATAAAATCCATATAATCATCTCATCTCAACTCATCCCATCCACATCCGGCATCCAACCAGACCCAGCAAACAAAACCAAACCAAACCAAACCCGTCAGCTAAGCTGGCGAGACAAATCAGTTGGGTTGGTGGATGCAGTGGTGATGGTGGACGCCGCAGTGTAACACACAGAGTATACATATATATATGTACATGTACAGATTCATTTGATGGTACAGACAGACCACGCTATGCTCACTCCCCCTCCCTCTCACCAAGGGTGAAATAGCCCAGCCTACCCCTTCGAGCAAACAAAGAGGCAAGGAGGCAACCCAAAATACCCACGTCCATCCACTCATGATTAATCGGTCGACGGAGCTTGACAGTCGTCCAAAAGGTAGCTGATTCCCAACTTTTTTCTATTTTGCCGTATTTCATTTCAAACGCATCTTTCCTAAACGGACGTTTCCTTCGTTTTCCATCATCTCATCAGTGATCGAGGCATGCGACATCGTGAACTCCGTATTTCTTGTTGCTTAGTTGACCTCTTATCGCCTGTTCAAAAAGTTCACTCCTCCAACTTGCGGCATACTCAGGAGGCTGTCCGCTCTCTGAAACACGTCGCCTCGGAAAAACGAGTCTCCATACGCACTGGCTGGTGTGCTCGGCACGGTCGCTAGAGGGGTCAGTAATGCAGACGAGCTCGTTGGTGTTGCAAGAGTGCTCGAGCTTAGATTAGCGTTTGGATTGTAGGGGACCGTTGCTTGGGCGGCCGGCCCGAGGGCTGCCGAGAGCGGTGTCGCTGGAAGCGGAACAGAGACGGGGCTTATGCCGTTGACGGCGCCAGACCCGGGTAGTGTAGAATTAATTGACACGGAGGATATCGAAGGTATGCTGCCATTGACCATTTGTCTCGTTGCCGTGTGGGGTGTGTTTGAGGAAGAGAGACCAGGAGGGAATGGGCTTTGTAGCGGGTAGCTTGCGGTCTGGGCGGAGATCGTGTTAGGCGGGTATGGAGAGACAATACCGCCGTTGGCAATCGTTGCGTGAACGGTACTGGGATATCCGTTGCCATTGACCACTGCGCCGGGCGGCTGGTTCGAGTTAGCCCCGAAAACGCTGGGTGGTGGCATTGCAGCCGCGGCACTGTCGGCCAGATACTGCCAGGGACTCGTCTCTATCAATCTCCCTGCCTCACGACTGGCCTTTTGAACCGTTCTCAACATCGTAATGAGCTCCTGTGACAGCAATCTCTGAGACTTGGCTATCCGCATCTCCGTCAGAAGCTCAATGAAACTCATCAAGAAGTTCTTGCAAAGGAGCCACAGGGAGGGGTCATTCCGACCGCTGCCAGCGGCGACGATTTGTGTGCTAGGATCTTGTAGCCGCATATTGACAAGTCGAATTTGCAGAGCTTCGCTGATGTCGATACATAATTTGCAGCGATAGACCAGGGTCGACCATAGATCGTGAACTGCCTTCGGCTGTCGATTTTCTTCTGCCGCTTCAAGACAACGCAGGAATTGTGCCTTCGCAATCGGGATGGTGTGCAGAGCAGCATCATAGGCTCTTGTCAGGGCGAGGAAGATCTGCTCGAAGACGGCTTCCTCTTGGGCATCAGTGAGACCCGTCGCAGGATTGACCCGGGCGGCCAAGGGGTTCGAGGGCGGGATGCTAAAGACTTCGCCCGAACGAGGCGTGCTTGCTACCGATGAGGACGTGAAGCCATTCATCGTAGTGCCAATGCGTGACCCAGATCGTGATCTGAACCCAGAACTCGAAGCAGAGGTCAGAGTGCCACTATTTGAAAAGGTCGAAGAAGTGCCAGTAAGAGTCCCACCGTTCAAAGTGGTTCCGGTCAAGTGAATCGGAGTCGGGAGGCCAGCCGAACCTGCAGGTGGTACAGGATTCGATTGATATGCTGGAATATTATCGGCAACTGGATGTTGAATGGCCGTGTCACTGCGCAATCTCCCAGCTTGCCTGGAAGCAGCATTTCTGTCTCGGGTGGGTGTGATTGCTCGGACAGGCTGCAAAGGAGTGCTGAACTCCTCAGGGATAGTCTGGATAGGATGCGAGTTTCCACTGGACATCTGTCTTCTATGGCCTAGGCCCTGTGCGACTCTCACATCCGCCCCAAAGCTTTGAATTGCATTCCTGACCTCAATCATACTTCCGTAGAGGAGGAGCATCAGCGTCCGCACATAACGGGCGTCAGACCCCGCTACTATTTTCTTGACGTTGTCCTGCAGCTGAGCAGTTACGTGCGTGTAGGCCATGATGCAAGTTGCACAGTCCCTTCGAACGCTGTCCTCGACTTTCTCAACCGCATCTGCGTCTGCAGGATCGATGGCGTCGGCGTCCTCCAGTGCTAAGTTGAGCCGGTCAACATGAGTGGAAGCGTTGAAGAAGGTAAATTCTAGTGTGCTCCTCCGCACGTCCTTGCCTCTGATTGCAGCGATAAGACCAGATATTTGTGGGTGAATCTGATACAGCGCATATAAGATGCCTTTGGCGCCTTCGATAACGGGATTGTTCCATTCGGTCTCAACTTTATGTTCCGGGAGGCTCGACAACCGTTTCACAAAGGCAAGCCTGTGTCGTCTAGGATCGCGTGGACTGCTGGGGCTCGAAGAGCTATTCCCGCCAGGGGATGACAGAGCACCATTACGTTTCAGAACGGAGCCGTGACTAAATCCTCGGAGATGGCTGTTTCGGTTAACCTTGAGCTCGTCAATACTGTCCAACTCAGGCTTCTCCTTTCGCAGCATGCCCATCCTTTTCTGCCGAGCAGCGGCCGAGGCTTGCAGAACACTCTCGCTGTTGCTCCGGTTTCTCTCGTTATTCTGGCTAATCAGAGGGGTGATGCCTGGCCGTCGAAGAGCAATGGGCTGCGTGTTGGACGTCATCCGATAGTGTGAGCGGGTCGGTACCGGAGGTGGGTTGGCGAGTGTCTGGCTCGGTGATGATTTATTGGCGTCCGACGAGGACTCGGCACTGGTGGTGCTGGGGATGACCGGAAATCTGCTGCTCAAAGATCGCTTGAGAGGTTTCGGTGTTGTCTCCGTCGGGTTGTCCTCGAGTTGGAGAGACGCTTCAACGTCAATGGGTGTGATGACGGGATGTAGTTCTCTCAAATACCGCTTGATCTCAAGCGTGATGGCAGTCTCTCTTTCGTGATCCGTCATTTCTGAGAATGAGACTTCGGATTCTTTGGCCTCCACAATCTTCTTCAACTTGAACCGCAGGGGATTCTCTGCAATCTTCAATATCTGCAACTTGGTCATCTCACAAAGCTCCACCGGCAAATCCTCCACCCGATTGTGCACGACCGAGAAGACACGTAAGGATCGCAGATTTTTGATGTCGCTTGAGATTTTTCGGACTTTGTTCCTGCTGATATCTAAGATTTCCAGTTGGGCTAGCTTGTACACCCCTCGTGGAATCTCCCGGAACACGTTCGACCGAATGTTGAGGTACCGTAGGTGTGAGCATTCGGAGAACCGAAGCGGTATATGCCAGATCTGATTGTGGGATAACGACAACCGTTCAACCTCGGTTTTGATAAGGTCTACCACACTTTCGGGCAATCTAGCGATGTTAGAGTGCCCCAGGTCCAAGGTGAGTTTCGGCTTGACGACGTCGCTGACGGCCTCGCTTCCAGCCAACGCATGTTCGGTATCTTGTCTGGCATCCGCGACCTTTCGCCGAAACAATTCCGTCGTATCTTCGAGAGACAAGAGGGCTGGTTCGCGACCGACATTGTTTTGTGCCCCCGTCCTTTCCTCCGCCTGTGGGGAAGAATCCTCCGCATTCAGGGCGGTGC